AGATAAACATAAGGTAGGAACTTCTATGTGTTTCTTGCTAAGCATACTCGGCCTAGTTTGAGAAACTCCTGTCATTGGCTTGCACTTGCTAGTATCAAGAACCCCTGCGATATTGAGATTGGTCTCTCAGATGATAGCTTACCGTGTCTGCCAAACACCCTCACTATCATGCCCTTTGTGTTGGTCTCATTTTAGTCCTAAATGCTATTTATGGAAAGTGTCTAGATTTACTCATTTGGCATATCTACAGAATGTAGAGATTGTCCTGAACACAATGGTGTTCGTCCCGTGTCCAAATTCACAATCTAGGGACATTCTATATTTAATAAGTTTCGAGCTTGTCCCAGAGACTAACTCCTGATACTAAGGGAGGCTTGGGGTAAAAGCCCAAAGCGTGTGTTCCTCAAGGGGGGGGGCCTGTGGGGGGTTCCAAATGTATAGTAAGGATAGTGGGTAGGTCGGGCATGGCCGACCAACCTGAGGCATAGTCTAATTCCCGCTTGCGTGCCTGTCCTTGTTCTGCGTCCGGCTTGGGTCTAAGCCCAAGTTCCATTCCATGATAGCTGGTGGAGTACCCATGTCCTTGCGTTAGGCCACCGGTATGCCAAAATAGCCACAGACTCTGTTTGGCTCTGTTTTGCAGGCTGGTTCTGGCATTGGGATGTTAATTGCTCCAGGACTATTCCAAGTCGCTCCGAGCTCCTATCCCTTCACTCCTTGGGCTGCATGCTCGGGAGTTACTCCGTGGTCCGGTTCCGTCACTCCTTGGCTCCATGCTTGGGAGTTTGGCATTGTTCCTTCGTTCAGTGGCCCAAGGCCTTGAACCTCGAGTTCCGCACCACTGTCCTTTGGACACGTGGTATATGACACGTGGCATATGTCACGTGGCATAAAGAGGGTTTAGGTTCTGCTTCATGGTGTTATCCTATGGTAAATCACCATAGGATAAAGGGTATAAACCACGTGCGTTACAATTGAGCACTATCATGGATAAAAATAGACTTAATAGGGACCGAAAAATGGATATTTGGGAATGGTGTTCCCCATGTTTTAATGCATTCTAAGGATGCTAAAGTGTGGTTAAAAGATGACCATTTGTGGATAGATGGCACGATCTTGGAGAAACAAATTCCTTACCACCTACCCCAAAGGCCATTTTAAGCCTTAAAGGTAAGATGACTTTTGATTTGTTAATTAGTTATCACTTAACAATTCCTTCCCTCCAACCCCAATCCCAACCCCAACAACAAAGTCATTGTGCCTAAGGACAAGTTATATAAATGATCAACCTTTCTAGAGAACTATATTTAAGCTCTTGATGCATCATCTATAGTTGTATATATCAAGGAATCACTAGGTTCTTCACTCTAAACTAGTGTATATTTTAACTATCTAATATAAAACAAGTTGAGTTTTCACTTCAATTGGCTATTGCATCCAATAAGCCCATCTTATCAATGCACTATAACACTTAATATGGAGTAATATATCTATAAAAAAATTTATCACTTTTACCACTCTACAAAAGCATTAAAGTGTTCTACTACTCACTTGATGGAAAGATTGTTCACACAAAGATGAGATCTTCTACTTTTTATTTCCAAAATTGATAATGCTCATTGACAAACTTCTTTGCTTTGTCTTAAGCCAGCAAATTCAGTGTATTTACCATTAGAATATTATTAAGTTCTATACTTGATCACTTATTTCTAATCAAACTTGTGTTGAACATCCTTCCTTAAATGAAATCAGGGTTATTATTGTTTATCCAATCCAGTGGTTCTTAATTTTTAAGAATATTTACTTTAACTTTAAGGACTGAGCTTGATTTCATATGTTGGCTATTGTTATGGATGAATTGCATCAATAGAAGATACAACTAACTTTTGAGATCCTTAGTGTGATGTCTGTCATTGTCATAACTATAGCCTAAATCCATGAACAAAATAAAAGAGACAGATGGAGAGGGAAATTTTCCTAACACTAAGAACTTTTATGACATAAATGTGGCTCTACAAACCAAATTTAATTATAATTCTAAATATATGATATTAATATTTTATGACATAAATGTGGCTCTATAAACCGAATATTAATTTATAATACTAAATATATAATACAATATATCAATATACAATACAAACAAATTTCGGTTAGCAAACCAAAGAAAACAGCACAATGCAGAAAAATAATTTATTATCATTAACTCTGATATGTAAGGACTACTTTTATTTGCATAAAGACATGCCTTTCTTTTAAAATTCATATTTAAATTAATATTCTCAAATTAGATTCTTGAAATAAATATTTAATAAATTTATAAGCTTTCAAATGAATAATATTAATCAAATTTTAAATAAATTAACTACTTTGTTATTAACCAAAATTAATAATAATATATAGCATAAATTTAATTATTTAAGTAAATAAAACAAAATTATGAAAAAGTAAGTATAAACCATAAATATAAATATTTAGAGTTTAATCTTTATTTTAGCACTAAAACATTCACACAATTTTTCCTCATGAAATATATATATATTATTATAGTTCTTTACTCGTATTTTTATGTAGCTTATACTCAGAAGGAGTTTCATTATGAAAATTATGGAAATAATGGAGCAATGCCAAAGCAAATAAATATGAATATGATAATTAGTTCCATGTTTATATTCATAACTAATTCATTACCTTCAGGTGGAACTACACCAGAGAATTCTATATTTCATACATTCATTATTGGAGACATTTTAGAAGATACAACATTAATAATAGATATATTATTTGTTATTATATCTGCTAGTATAAATTGTCCATTAGACGATAATGGTATTCGTCAGATTAATAATGATAATACTAGGGATGTTTTGTTAAGAGTTGCTGAACAAACTTATCGTTCTATCCAAAATGCAAGAGCATCATATTTTATGAGTATTATTGTTCAACATGATATTGGTATTTTTTTAATATTATATCAAATCCGTGGATATACTCTTAGAATAACTCCTCATTATAATATTAATACATTTTCAATTCCATATAAATTTTGTAATTTCTTAAAAAATAGATTATTTAGTGGATATAAAGGTTTGTTTATTGCCACACTTAATGCTGGTGAATTTTTAATACATCTTTATAAAGCATATGTGTTTTTAGTACAACATGATTGTAACAGTGTTTTATATTACAAAAATATAGTTTTATGGAATACTGAAACATATGGAGAAGGTTTTGATTGTAAATTCAGATTGCAAGAAGATGGAAATTTTGTTTTATATTCAGCATTTGATTTGAAACCATTATATGCAACTGGAACTTATTGTAAGAAATTTAATTGTGTAAGCCCATCAATGCTTATTCTACAATTAGATTGTAATTTAATTTTATATGATGATGATAAACCTTCTATTCAAATGTGGTCAAGTAAAACAATATGTTATAAATAATAATTTTAAATGTAATCACAAATTTAAAAAAATTGAGACTTATTTTCCAACATATAGTGTTTTTTTTCTATTATTACTCAAAGATAATCTCATAAATATTCAGCCTTTAGTAATAATATAAAAAATTGTATTTTAGATCTGGATTTGAACTAAAGAAGATATTGTTTACTTTATAAAAATACAATAAGGCCCATGGGCCAACAAGAAGAATCAGAGCAAATACTAACATAAGACATTGTCAAGAGCACATTTTAGTAAAAGATTATATGAAAGATTTTTATGATGAGAAAGATCTCCAAGTTATTAGAACCATGAGGAATGGAAGTGTGAAATAGGCATTCTAACAACAAAGATATATTACCCTCTACCTAGAATGAAACAGTGACTACAGAAACAGCAGTCAATAGTAGTTGCAAAATCAAGTTCATGCCCAACATCATTTTCAATACACACTCCACTATCATGGCTATTCACAATTACTCTCTTAGATGCTATCTTGTCACCATTCCTCTCACATCCACAATACCATTCCTCCATATCCACTGCCAGTCATTGAAACTTATGGAGCCAAATCAAGATATCATTGGGGTACTCTCCATGGACTATATGGCCATTATCTAGGTATGGGCTTGCTTTTTTTCTTGCCCTTTAGCCTCTCTTTATTTTCTTTTCCATGTTCCCATGTGGTTTCCCACACTCTCTGCCCCACTTCTTTCTCTTGTTTTTCAACACTTTCCTTTGCTCTTTTCTTTGTTATCCTTCTGGAAATATCCCTGAGCTTATGTCCATTGATTGTTTGGGAAAAGATAATCTCGACTTCTAAATAACATCTCATGGTTGCATGGTTACTCTTTGCTGGCTGCAAAGAAACCCATGGGTTCTTATACATCATGACAAAGAAAAGTCTCAATTATATCTTATGACTAGTTTGTTCAATTGCAATGATTGTTGATATTACTGGTGGTTGGTGATGGCTTTGATGAAGTGATGTAAAGAGATATCATGGAAAATGATGGAGTATGGAGGAAAGTGGAAAATGGAAAAAAATACATTGTGCTAGATCAATTGATTTTTGATGATTTTTGTTCTACCAGTGAAAGCAATTTATAGAATTCTGTACTTTTTTTGGCATTTCTCGACATTCCTCAAGAAGCATTTTATAATTGGTGTTATTCCCAACTAATAATTGATTAATTGTTGATGAAGTTTTTTGTTATTCTTGACTACCATAGGACAACGAAACACTTGGAGTATCAAGGTTATTCTGTTCCTTTTCTACTCTGGAGCTCTTGGATGCAACTCCCCTGGCCGTGGACGAATTTGACCTCGGGGAGTATTAGCTATGCCAGTAATAGCTGAGGTGAGAGTGATGTTGGTGGGCAGAATGCCGTAGACAAGCACCAACGATAATGCCGCGAATTTGCTGCGAGGCCAAGCAAGATCACGGGATTACATCCCACCGGAAGAGCGTCTTCTAATCAATCTCGGACAAGGGAGACCGGAGAATGCGGGAACTAGCGATCGTTGTCTATAGAACCCTTTAAAAAGGAGGGTTTTAGGGTTTTGGGGATGGAAGACGCGATCGAGGAGCGCTACACGCGATGGAAGTCCTCCGTGCCCCTTCTCTACGACTGGTTTACTAATCACAATCTCACCTGGCCCTCTCTCAGCTGCCGGTAAGCATATGGATCACACAGTCCGGCATTCTCTCTACTAAACTTTCACGCTGCCCATGGTTTTGGTTTTTAGCTGGGGGCCTTCGGTGGAGCAGGGATCATCTAGAAATCTTCAGCAGCTCTACTTCAGCGAGCAGGCAAGTGATTCCTTTCCTACTCTTCCTCTTGCTACTTTGAAGGCAATTTCTTTTTCTTCTTGCTCTCTCTCGGCAGACTTATGGGCAGTATCCAAACACGCTTGTAGTTGTCAACTGTGAGATCATAAAACCACGATATGCTGCTCACGAGAGCTTATCCCAGGTATGGTTCATCAAAGTTTTTCCTTCCTCTTTTATACGAGAGTGCTTCTAGTTTAACGAGGAAGCTCGATCGCCATACATCAAGCGGCTTAAAACCGTGATCCATCCTGGCGAGGTCAGGAACCAAGAACAAGAAAAACTTAATCGGTTTTGAGCTTGTTTACCACAGGTGAACCGAATACGAGACTTACCTCAACTTAGCAGCAAAGTTGTGGCCACGCACACTGATAAGCCCGAGGTTTATCAATTCAATCCTTCGTAGAGTCTCACGACTTTCATTCAGGTGTACGTGTGGAATCTCGAATCACAGCCAAATCGATCTCCAGCACCAGGAGCTTCTCCTTCAAAGCCTGATATGGTATTGCGGTTTTTTTTTCCTATGCTTTAGACAATAAGTTCGTTCTTTGGCTCTTTGTCCAGGTATTGACGGGCCATACCGCAAACGCGGAGTACGCTCTTGCATTGTGTTCGTGTGAACCGTTTGTTCTATCTGGAGGTTAATCTCGTTTTAACTCTCGACTGGTTTTTTCATTCTGTCCTTGCTGTGCTAAATGCGTTTTTTATTTTCTTGTCGTAGGACAAGATCGGAAGGTTCTGCTTTGGGACATCAACGACGCCGTATCTGGACTTAATACACCAGGAAGACCTACTATGAACAGCGGTGGAACAGGCATGATAAGCAGCACTCACGTTTCAGCAACTGGCATCTTCAAAGGTCATTCTAAAACTGTGGAAGACGTTCAGTTTCGACCATCAAGGTATGGGGCGATCGTCTTTGGATCTTGTTTCATGATAAAACATTGCTATGCAGTGCAAATGAGTTTTGCAGCGTCGGAGATGACCGCTGTATCATTTTTTGGGACAAGAGACAGGGTAACAGTCCAGCACAAAAGGTACTTACAACTCTTCCTTTTTCTTCTTTCCGGCTAAACTATGCTCTTGCAGATTACTGATGCACACGACGATGATATTCATTGCTTAGATTGGAACGCTCATCAGGAGCATTACATTTTGACAGGGTAAAAGTTCCTCGTGCATCACTCTGCTTTAACCTGAAACTCTTTCCGTAGGTCCGCCGATACTTCTGTCAAGCTCTTCGATCTAAGAAAACTGGATTCGAATGAAAGTGGCTGTCAAGTGAAAAAGTTCAAAACACACGAAAGTGCAGTCTTGGGTGTGCAAGTAAGAGTACTTGTCTCAAGTATCTGAAAGATGCAAATGAAATTCTTTTACTTGCAGTGGTGCCCTGCAAAAGCGTCAGCTTTCGCTAGTGCTGCAGCGGACTCCACGGTGAGCATCAGTGATATCGAGATAAGTTTCAAGAGCTCAGATTCCAACGCAAACCATTCGGAAGGACTGATCTTCAAGCACATTGGACACAGGTGATCTAGAAAAGCATGCTTTTCCTTTCTTGAGGTGGAGGTTCATTCAGGGGCCAAATCGTCGACTTCCACTGGGATCCTTTGGAGCCATGGTTACTGGCGACCGTGTCCACAGACGCGAAAGGTGGCGGCACACTACAGGTACAAGAAAGTCCATGTTGTTTCACAGTCTAAGATTTTTTTTACCTGTAGCTTTGGCGACTTAGCGACTTAATCTACCGACCAGAAGACGAAGTTCTTGCAGAGCTAGAGAGCTTAACGAATAAGTCCACAATCTGATCTAACAGCGCTGGATATACTCTGGTATATTTATTCATCTCACATGTCGCTGGTTTCAATCAAGCTTGCTGCAGGCTTTTGGTAAAGTCGAGTAAATGCAAAACAAGTTTGGTACTGCGCGAATGCTGCAGCTCACACCAAACTGGCGGATAGGTTCTCGCAGAAGGGCACAAAGCCCACAAGATGTTGGCCGTGGTGGCTTTGAAGCCGCAATGTCTGTTGACGACGACGACGACGACAACTCTCCAGAAAACGCAAGGACGAAGAAGAAGCAGCACCAACAACAGCAAGAACAAATGGTGAGTTCCTCAGGAAAGCTCTCAAGAAAGACAGCACGGATCCGGGTATGGTGGCTGCTCTCGATTTGGTTCTCAGCTTTAGCTCGGATAGCAGCGGCAAGAGGGTGCTCGAATGAGCTCAAGTTGAGCCTCGGCATGGCTCCAAACGCCATGCCCGAGGAAGTGGTCCACAAGGTTGACAGGATGATCCAAGTTCACGCTTTTAGAGCACTCTTGAGACCACACACTGGCACTGTCTACGACGTTCCACTTCCAATGGGGATCCAACCGGGCCTCTCCGTCCAAGCCGTGAGACTCAAGACTGGAAGCTTGCAACACCGGGGATTCATCTTCAACGAGTTCATCCTCCCTCCAAGGCTTGCGGTGACGACGAGAGTGAATTCCAGGGAAGAGGTTCCGGAGTACGTGGTTCTCGTCTACAGGTTTTTCAGCATGAGATTCTCGGCCTACTGTCCGAAGAACGGGATCTCGATCATCGGTCCCGTGGTGGGAATCCGAGCTTACAGTGGGATGGATATGGAGGAGAGCTCTTCCGGAGTGAAAGCGCCTGTAGAGGCCGAAGTGGTGGCTTTGGAAGACCCCGTGACAGTTCGCATTCCAATCTTTCCACTCTCCGACTCCAACAAGGTGAATCCGGCGATGTGCGCTCTCTTCGACGGAAACGGGAACACCACCGTCACTCCCATGACTTACGTGAACGTTTGCTCCATGTATCAACTTGGTGACGCCACGCTCGTGAACTTCTCCGCGAACAGCACCGGCGAGAGCTGGACGGATCCGATCGAAGCTCCAGCCCCCGCGCCGGGAAAGCACGCGAGGGATCATCCCAGCCACGCTGCGCCATCGCCCTCGTCATCGTCTTCGTCCATGGGAGAAAGCAAAGCTCGCCGGAGGCGTTCCTCGTCGAGAATTAAAGCTGGGATCTTGGGAACAATGGGGGCACTGACAGTGATGATCTTGGGAGCTTTCGTTGGAATGGCCGGTCTGAGAATCCACCACGCTGCGAGGATTTTTAAAATGGAGATCCAAGCAAGCGAGAGTGAGTCGCTAGGAATGACGTTGATATCGTACAACGCACGGCCTCCCAATGCCCGTGCTAGCCGTACGAAGCCGTGTCTAGAGAAGGACTATATCTTCCGATAGCGAGCTATGGATTTTTTCTCTGTCTCGTGTGTGTATTTTTCGAATGGAAAGAATATTACTTGGCTCTCTCAAGAACCCTAAAGTTCGAGGATTTTTCTTTGTGGTCATGAAATATTTTGGGGGATTGTTTGGCGCTTAGAGCAATGCATCCAATGCCGGCCGCGATTGTGTCGCCTCTTCGCGTCTACGCGCACAATCCGGAGGCGCCGGTGTGTTCTTCGTCATCTGTGGTAGCGGCGGTGGTGAGCTATGGAAAGATTACGCACAATGCAGGGCTTCTGCGATTTGGAATCCGATGCAAGAGGAGGAGGGGAGTTCTTGTGGCCATGGCCTCGGCGGCCGCGGCAGAGCCTTCTTCTCCGGAGGTAATCACGACTCCCAAGGGATTGCAAGTCCAGGAGACGCAGAACGATGGTAATGCTCGGGTAAGCATCAGTTTCTCCAATATTTCCAGATGGAATTTTTTTTTGTTGTGTAGGTTCGCTTGAAAGTAAGAGTTCCGGGGAATCTCTGCAAGGAAATTTACGATGAAACCCTGCTGGATTTTAGCAAGAAAGTGAAGGTGAGTGTAATAGTGATACTCTAGAACCAGCATTTTCAGTAGAGTTTTGTTATGATTGTCAGGTGAAAGGTTTTCGTCCTGGAAAAGTTCCAGAGTGGGTTTTGCTCAGTCAAATTGGGCAGAAGCGTGTCGAGTCGGAGGCGGTGAAGTTGATCCTGGAGAAAACTCTCCCCGAAGCTATGGCTTCCGTGAGTAGCTTTGCCATTACTTTTCTCCGTAGCTTACGTGCTGTTTTAAGGTTGCTGGACGAGCACTGAAAGATTCAGAAGAGATTGTCACGAAATTCGATTCGCTGCTGGCAGCCTTCACGCCAACTTCTCCTCTAAGGTAATGTTTTTGGTCGTCGTTTGCTCTAGAACTCCACCTAAGCGGTTTAAGCGATAGTTATCATGTTGCAGTGGATGTTATACCGGATGTGGAGTGGACATCAAAGGACGCTTACAAACATATGGTGCTAGAAGTTGAAGGTCGCGACGATATTGGTGTTCAAAATGCTGCCGATGCTGAGCTTGCATCGCGACACAAGGATTTGGGATCCTTGAGAGTTGTAACTGGTAGAGGATTGGAGGTATATCTAGCTTTTTGTTTTCCTTATTCTGACTTGGCTCCTTGTGTAGATGAACGATGTCGTTATTATTGATATTTCGGCTGCTCGCATAAACAGTGATGGAACAATTGGCGACAAGATTCTATCATGCACACAGAAAGGTACGCGTTGCTCTGGTATACTCCGGTTGATTGAAAATACCTCTTCAGGATTTAGTTTGGACACGGAGGAGAGCACTTCTTATATACCAGGGCTTGTTCAAAACATGATGGACCAGAAAGGTGGCGAAACTCGCACTTTTGATCTTGTTTTTCCTCCAGACTGGAATCAGGAGCACCTTCGTAACATCAAAGCGCGATTCACTGTAAGTCTTGCTACTGCTTTAAGTGACATCCTCAGTGCGGTTTTTGGTTAGGTGGAATGCAAAGAAGTCTTCCTGAGGGTAGTACCTGATCTAAATGACGAAATTGCGGAAAAGCTTGTTGAAGGATGCAAGACATTAGAGCAGGTAGGATGCAATTTTTCGCTTGAGATTTCCTTGGTATCTCTTGTCAATCAGGTGAAGCAAGCTTTGCTCAAAAAGCATCAGCTCATTGAGGAAAATAACAGAAAGAATGCAGCCAGGGGAGCAGTACTTGAAAAACTTTCCAAGGTCAAGTAACATCTTGATCTTGCGCTTAATTCCATGTATCTATGTGCAGATAGCAAAGATTCAAGTTCCAAAATCCTTACTAGAGGAGCAGGGCCGACAAATATATGCCGCCAAGCTTATGGAGTTGCACGTAAGATTGACTAGTGTCCAAGTATTCGATTTTGACATGCCAATCCAGATCAAACAACGGTTTGACAAGAAGCAAATGGAGCCGCTCACTAGCGAAGAAATGGTGAACAACTTTATTCGTGTCAAGCACGATGAGATATCGGCTACAGTGAGGCAATCCATCGCCGTGGCAGAGGTTTTCAGGCTTGAAAAGCTTCAGGTTTGTTTCATCGGTACGTTCTTTTACTTTACTGAAGTGCTGTGCGTAACAGTACACGAGGGATGAGCTAGAAGCGGAGGTAAAGTCCGCTATTGACGAGTTCAAGATCTACAACCAAGAATACGACGAAAAGAAAGTGAGAGAACAGGTACGTTTCACGCCATCGCTCTCAATCAGTTTTAGACAAGAAAATCTTGTGTTCTAGGCGCAAGAGATGCTTGAGGGTGCCAAAGTCTTGGATTGGCTACTGGAGCAAGCGGACATCAGATACGTAACTACTAAGTAGATAGTGATTTGCTTCGTCCGGACAAACGTTTTGGCTTGTAATCGCAGCTTTTTGGAGGGTTTCCATTTTGCTTAACACTGTGTATAATCTATCTAACCGGAGGCGAATTTTTCTCAGCTGGCATTGATGAAACGTAGAGGCAGCAGGCAGCTCACACTATTTTTGTGGGTGGTGTGCACGGGACACGGCCCCTGGGATTGCGTGCCTGTGCTTGACAGACCACTCAGCAAAGTGGCGCAATAAATCCTCCGAGAGGAGGCGGCCGATGACGAGTCGGAGTCATGCCCAGAGCTTGCTTCCTCCTCGCCATCGCCTTGTTCTCTGCCGTCTCTACTTCTGCAACGACGAACAATGCGAGTATGTTTCGTTCTCCTCTTCTTTATTTTTATTTTTTTCGCGTGACTCGCTTTCCCTCTATTGTGACAGCTCGGGTGCGCTCCGTGAGCTTGGGAGGCTGGCTGGTGATTGAGAAATGGATCAAGCCGTCGCTTTTTGATGGAATCGTGGAGCCGGACCTCTTAGTAATCTAGTTTTTGTTTCCTTGTCCTCTAGTTGTTTTGTGTTGCCTTGTCTTGTCTCGTCCAGGATGGAACTCTTGTTACATTCGAGTCACTGGTTCTGGGAACTTATGTGACGGCTGCCAATGGAGGTGGCTCGGACGTCACTGCCAACGGCACCTCGGCGTCGGACTGGCAAACATTCAAGGTAAAGATGGAACTCTCGGTGGTGCTGTCTGACAATACTCCTTTTCTGACAGCTATGGCGTGTTTCCAGTACATTGTTCCAGTTTCGGGTGTCCAAGAACCAGTTTATCTCAGCACCGGATTCGAGTGTCTCCGCCACCGTGGACTATCCCGGACAGTCTGAAACGTTTGAGATTAGTCGAAACGGTGGCCTGGTGATGCTTCGAGCCCCCAATGGCATGTACCTCCAGGTAGTGAACTGCGATCGTATGAAAAGCTCAAGCTCAATGTGATCCATTCCACAGGCAAATGAGAACTCTCGACTGACTGCCGATTACAATGGGACTCTGGGATGGAGCAGTGACAATCCAGCAGTCTTCAATATGACTGTCAATACTGTTCTTGGTGGAGAGTTCCAGCTCGCCAATGGGTACGACAAAGAAGACGCACAAACCGTGTTCAAGGTTTGTGAGTCGAGGCTTTGTGATTGGAGCTTCTGAAGTCTTGGTGTCTTAGAAACACCGAGAGAGCTTCATCACTCAAGACGACTTCAAGTTCTTGGCTGCAAACGCAATCAACAACGTTAGAATTCCGATTGGCTGGTGGATTGCATACGACCCAGAGCCTCCATTCCCATTCGTTTCCGGCTCGCTCGAGGCACTGGACAACGCGTTCACCTGGGCAGAGTACGTACGCGATCTCTAAATTGCTTAAAGTTGATACGTCTTTCGTCCAGGAACACCGGCATCAGCGTCCTAGTGGATCTCCACGCGGCCCCGGGATCTCAAAGCCAGTGGCAACACTGTGGAACTCGGGACGGCGTTTCAGAGTGGGCCAAAGCCAACACCAGCTACATCTCCGATACACTTTCAGTCATTGAATTTCTGACCTCCAGGTATGCATGCGAGTCCCTCGCTCTCTTCTTTCATTCACTTTTTGCCTTTCTCTCCGTGTTCTTCAACCTTGTAGATACGCAAGCCATTCCGCATTTTTTGGCATCGAGCTTCTCAACGAGCCAACTCAGCAGCACGTACCACTCGACGTCCTCCGCAATTACTACGTTGCGGGCTACAGCAGGGTGAGAAAATACAGCTCAAGCTGCTTCGTGATCATCTGCCAGCTGATCGGCACAAACCCGAGCATACTGGTGGATTTCATGACACCCAGCGATGGCTACACCAACGTCGCCTTGGACGTCCACTGGTACAACCTCTTCGAGAACAGATTCGTGAACACTTCGGCGCAGTGGAACATCGACTATATCCTCAACCAGAGGAACTCCGATCTCCAAAAGCTCAACAACGCAAACGGGCCTCTCATACTCGTTGGTAAGCTCTTGGAGTTCGTCAGTGATTCATGGATCGATCTAAAACCATTGCCTTGCAGGGGAATGGACCACCGAGTGGGATGTGCAAGGAGCCACCATGTCGGACTACCGAAACTTTGGAGTGGCACAGCTCAAAGTGTTTGGAAACGCATCGCTGGGGTGGTCTTACTGGGGACTCAAGAGCAAGGATCTACACTGGGACTTCGAAAGAACCGTGGAAAAGGGACTGCTCACACGCCAGAGCAACGGACAGTGGCCTTGAAAAAGAACAAACAGGGCCAGTGACAACTCTCAAGAATAGGATCTAACAAAAGTTCCGGGAAAACAAATGATTTTTTCTTGAAGCAAGGACTATAGTTTATAGACAAAAGTATTTTTATATCCAGTTAGATTGCTTAGTATGGCTCGGCATATCTAACTTGAACACTTGGTGCGAATGGCACTAAAGACATGGTGAATGAGATAGGGACACCCAGTTTCAGTTGTTATAGACCCTTAGCTAGAAGGGTTGTTTTGGGTGCATCACCAAGTGTGGGGGATGCCCTCGGGGTCATGGTGAACAATTTAAAGGTCTGGAAGACTTAGTACCTATTGACAAACCTATTAAAGTGCCAAGTTGTGATCACTAGGTGATCTTATGACTAAAAACAACTTGTGAGGTTAAAGGATAAAGTCTTTAGTTCAAAGTGTAGGTTTGAACTATTGATGATGGTGTGGCTTAGTCAAGGTGATCAAGTGGGAAGAACACCTAAGGGAAATTATTTGTGACTATGTGTTGGCATAATGAGTCTGAATAAAGTAGTCTCTATAAAAGACCTATAAGAGGGTCACAAAGTTGGGCCAAGGATAGAGCCTACAGTAGAAAATCTTAAAGAGACGTACTAGGGGTGAACACCCTTTGGACTTGGCAAGGCAAAGTCCTTGCTATGGGACCAAAAGGATACCTCAAGAATGGAGGTAGTGATCCGATGTTGTTGGGTGCAACAATCAAGGATAGGAGCAAAAGACTAGCAGTTAAAAAAAGAGCCATGGGAATCATGGGAAAGAATCCAAAACGCAAAGCACCGTCAAGTGTGGGGGATGCCCTTAAGGTTATAGTCAACAATTTAAAAGGGTCTGGAAGACTTAGTTTCTATTGGTAGACCTGTTAAGGGGTCAAGATGAGATCACTAGGTGATCTTATGGCTAAACAAGGACAAGATCTTTGTTTGGGTTAAGGAATATGATTTGTAGTTCAAAGTGTTGATTTGAACTATTGATAATGGTGTGACTTGGTCAAGGTGACCAAGTGGGAAGGACACCTAAAGAGAAATCAGTTGTGCCAATATGATGGTATAGTAAGTTCAAGAAAGTAATCTTTAAGAGAAACCCATGGGAGGGTCACAAAGTTGGGCTATAGACGGAGCCCATAGCAGAAAATGCTAAAGAGACCTACTAGGGGTGAGCACCCTCTAGACTTAGCAAAGTAAAGCCTTTGCCATGGAACCAAAAGGATACTTCGAGAATGGAGGTAGTGATCCTAAGTTGCTCAGTGCAACAATCAACGAATAAAAGTAAAAAATTAGTGGCCAAGTGTGGGCCATGAAATTTATGTAAGCCACAAATTTTTCCTTTCCAATTTGCCAGCTTACCTCGTCTATCCGACCAACACTGCCTTGGTTTGTGCTAAGTTCCCTCGCCAAGGTTCTCGCCTATTGTACCAGCTCCTACTTAGTCCTACTTGGTTTCAGCTATTCACTGCACGAGCAACGGAGTGTTAGCCATCCATCTACGGATTCCCAAATCTCTCCCAATCCCCCTCCCTGGGTTAGACTGGACTTAAGGTTCGGCTACACTCCCCGCAGGCACAAGCAGCCAAGCACACCAAGCCTCCAGGTTCCTAACACCCCTTGGTACAACAAGACTTGATCATGGGACCCTCTAAATCCCAAGCCTTGGGTGCAGCACTTGCTTCGGGATGTCGGGGCGAAACACCATGGCCTAACGCCCCGGTATGGGTACCTCTACCCCCCCCGAAGGGAAGGCCCAAGCCCTTAGGAAGGGCGAGGACCAATGAGCCACAAGGTACTCAAGTGGGGCACCACTCCACATAAGCCGGGAGCACTGTAGTCGGTTTCCCTTTCGGGAGTGGGAGCTGCTCTTGAGCACTTCCCTGGGTGGCCCCTCCGGCACCACCCAAGCCCATGCTCACTCCCACCCAAGGCCCTTCGGCCCCAGTCTCAACCTCAAGTCAGTTTGGAAGCACCACTGGAGAGTTCCTTCAAGACTGGTTCCTGGACCTCACTATCCCTACTATACTTTTGGAACCCCTTGCAGCCCCCCCCCCCCCCCCCGGGAGACACATGCTTTGGGCTTTCACCCCTTGAGTTGTATTAGTATTTGGACTTAGTCTCAGAATCGATCTCGGACCCGACTTCGGACTCGGTCTTGGACTCAGTCTCGGACTCGATCTCGGACCCGATCTCGAACTCGACTTCGGACTCGACCTCGGACTCGGTTTCGGACCCGATTTGGATCTCGGACTCTGTCTCAAACTCGGTCTCGAACTCAGTCTCGAACTCGGTCTCCGATTCGGCCTCGGCTCGATCCCGGACTCTATCTCAAACTCGGTCTTTGAGTCAATCTTGGACTCGATCTTCGACTCGGTCCCATCCGATGAACTCTTTGTCATTTCGGTCATGCTTTCGGGGATCCTTTAGCCTACGACATCTCGGGGAGTTGGTTCCTTACAATTCATTGGAAGTGGATGCTAGTGGATTGTGAGAAAGGAAGTGTGCTTCCAAGGATGGATTCACAATTGCTCCAAGTTGGCAAAGGTGAAAGCTCCAAAGGAGGGAGCGGCAAAATAGCCAAATGATAGGGCCATGGACAACTCTAGCACAACTTACAATGGCTAGAACTTGGTGCCAAATGTGGCACAAAATAGAAAGGAGGATGATGATGCCCTCACGTAGAGAATTTTTTAGGATGGGGAAGTGAAGTTGCACAATATGTGCAATGGAAGGTGTCGGAGACACCAAAGAAATTAACTTCAAGAAATCAAAATTAAAAGTTCCAAGATGAACTGGTTATGTCAATAAAAGTTGAGACTACTCGAAAATGAGTAGTAGGATTGAGCTAGAGAAGATGTCTTTAATGGGTTTAGCGAGAGCTAAACCAATAAAAGGGAGAGAATGTCGCGAATGTGACTTCAGGTATCGAAAGTTACCTGTCGGCCAGTCCTTACGGACACTCTTTCCTTACTGTCACGATAGCAAGAGGTCGGTATTGCTAGTTCCCTTTATCAGCCCCTCTTGTTGAAGTGTTAGTAAACTGGGCTTAGCACCTATACTTAGCCAAATGGATATAAGGTAGGAACTCCTATGTGTTTTTAGCTGAGTATACTCGGCCTGGCTCTTAGTTCTCTTTTGCTCTGTCTTGCATTGGCTTGACAAGAACTCTAGTGTATTGAGATTAGTCCCTTAATATCGCTGGATGATAGATTACCGTGTCTGCCAAACACCCTTGCTATCATGCCCTTTGTGTTAGTCTCATTTTGGTCCTAAATGCTATTTATGGAAAGTGTCTAGATTTGCTCATTTGGCATATCTGCGGAATGTAGAGATTGGCCTGAACACAATGGTGTTTGTCCTGTGTCCAAATTCGCATTCTAGCGCCATTCCATATTTAGTAAGTTTCACCCATGTCCTCACGTTAGGCCACCGGTATGCTGAAATAGTGCCAAACTCCATTTAGCTCCATTTTGCGTGCTGGTCTTGGCATTGGGATGCTGGTTGCTCTAGGACTGTTCCAAGTCGCTCCGGGCTCTTGTCCCTTCGCTCCTTGGGCTATATACTCGGGAGTTGCTCCGTGGTCCAGTTCCATCACTCCTTGGTTCCATGCTTGGGGGTTTGGCATAGTTCCTTCGTTTAGTGGCCCAAGGCTCTGAAACTCGGGTTTCACACCACTATCCTTTGGACACGTGGCATGTGACATGTGGCATTTGTCACGTGGCACAAAGAGGGTTAGGTTCCGCTTCATGGTGTTATCCTACGTGCGCTACATTTGGTATCAGAGGATGAGTCTCAGCGAGTACTATTCAATGAGATTGGGCAACTAGTCTTGTTGCATACGCAGAGATGAAAACGATGATCCGAGTGGGTACACATTTTGGTGCAAAGGCTTCGCATTCGTTCCTTGGGTATGGATTTTAGTTACCTTTTTATACCGTAATAATATGAGTTTTCATAAGATGGATTTGAAGTGTACCTTCTGCACGAGTTTTCACTTGGGCTCGTGAGTGAGGCACATTAGTAACTCGAAGTTATACTTTGAGTTGGCAGAATTAATGTAAGCCTATCGATGGTTCCATGAGTTGTTCCAATGGTTCCATGAGTTGTTCCATGTACCATGGGTGAAAGTAAACCTTCCCTAGGTTTGGTATGAGTGGCAAATAGGCTGGTTTGTAGCTGTTTAGCACGGCCCTAGTGGATCCTTCCTAGACATGGTTACAAGTGGATCAATCAAGACTATAGGGATTAGTTTATTGGTTCAAATAGTCATTGCTGTGCTCTCTCATAAACTTTTCTTGGATTGGACTGAAGGCAGTGCGAAAGCAAACTTGAGGTTTAGTCAAAAATGAGACCGAGAAAAGAGTCATTAGGGATGAAGGATCAAACACGTAAATCATTTTCTCTTGGAGAGATGATTTGCAACGAGGTGTTAACTCATTGCTCGTGTTCACATCATGCAATCAAGAGTCCCTATCTTGATGCATGTTGGAGATGATGATCTTTGGTGAGTTGTGGGATAGATAGCAGTGAAGCGCTAAACCATTTTATCTAGACTTACTATTGGAAGACTTAGGTTGCAATGCTCAATTTTTTTCTAGGGAACCTTGCTATTGCTCTTTGAGTAGCTTGGTGTTGGATTAGTTTTGAGATTGGTCGGAAAGAGAATGGCATGAGCTTGTCCTTGTTGTGAACAAAAGTTAGTGGTATTAGGTGTTGTAAATCTCTATCGGTGAAGTGTGGCAATTGTGTTGCATTTTGTTGAATTGAGTTGGCATTTGATATTTATATAAACCTTGTAGTAGTGACATGGGCATTTCTCGTGGTATTGCTCAATTGATGATCAAGTCATTGTGATTTTTATATCGTGTCCATGTGATAGTAAGCAATGCGTTTACGAAGTTGCTTGGTTAAATGATGATCAACCCCAAAGTGGTTGATGGAGAAGCTAGTCTACTTGCACGAAGTAGCATTGTAGTAGCTTTGACTGGATTCTCGATAGTGGTCCATTATGCTAAGCTTAAGTTGGTACTTTGTTCCTTGGGTTTGCCCTTAAGGTGTTGGAAAGGGTTATAGCATTCACTTGCTATGGCTTGTTGGTTTATCTGTTAACACTTGAAGTAGATTGTTGG